GAGCAGTGGGAGAGCAAGCAAAGCTTCCTCTGCTGCTCCTGTTGCCTGCATTACCACCTAAGCTCTGCCTCCTCTAGGACCAGTAGTAGCAGCAATAAAATCTCATAGGAGCCCCCAGATGGGAACTTCTAGTTGCAGAAAAACAAGCTCAGGGATCCCACTGATTCTGCATTATGGTTAGTTGTATAATTATTTAATTATATGTTACACTGTAATAATAATAAAAAAATAAGCTGCATAATAAATGTAATGCACTTAAAACATCATGAAACAAACCCATTCTGGTCTGTGAAAAAATTGTCTTCCATGAAACCGGCCTGGTGACGAAAAGGTTGGGGACTACTACTCTGTAGCACACAATATGGTTTTTCACAGTGTGCATGCAGTATGAGACTATCTATTTGGGGATGTACATCATTTTCAACAGAGAATTTTGCATTCTTGTGTCTATTAAGTGTTTCCTGTTTTATCTAGGTACATTAGTAGTTTTTTATATTTGGACATAATGTGATGTTGCAACTGGGAAATGTCTAAAGTGAAATTTTATACCCTGATTTCTCAGAATATTGCTTCTCTGGGAAATGAGTGGGACCCATCTCTGCTGTCATGGATCTTACTGGGAGTCATAAACCAGAGACACAGCACCTACAGAGGCTGTCACTCATCAGGCAAATGAGTTTCCACTTCTCCCTTAATAGTGCTGCTCACCTTGTTTTCTTGGCATATCCATACTGCTCAGTCTAGACTACACATAAGAACTGCAAAAGGCAGTATTTCTAAAAATTTATTATACATGTGAACTACCTGGTTCCCCTTTAAATGCTAATTTCAGTTCATCGGGTCTGGTGTGGAACCTACGATTCTACATTTTAGAAGTCCAAATTTTACATTTGATGACATAACTCTGCCAGTCTGTGGACCACAATTTTTAATAGTAAGGCATATAAGACATTTTTAAAATACAGATTACTATACCATCCTCAATAAATGTAATCAAAATCTCTGGGAGGGGGACCTGTCAAAAGTATCTTAAAGTTCCTTAGGTAATTCAAATATATAACCAAGGGTTAACAACATGTGCATTAAATGCCTGTCTTGAGCCTTCCCTGTGGCCTAGTGGTTAAGGGAGCCTCATACCAGATAGTAAACTGCACAGTTCAAATCCTGGCCCCCAGGAGCTTGAAAATTACACGAGGCATATGTGGGTAAGTGTTCAAAAACTCCAGACAAGATGGAGAAATGGAAGAGGGGGAGTGCAGTTCGACTATGCCCAATTGAAGGGTGCTTATTCCCTTTCTCTTTCTCTGGCAAGTACAAATGCCTTCTAGCAACTATCTTCTAAAAAATGAAATAAGTACATGTCTTACAGAGATGTCATTAGGTTTAAATGATATAATCTTGTGAGAGTATATCACATAGCAACTAATATTAATAACACTAGCATTTAAAAAGAAATTTTAAGTGATGAACATTAATCAAAATATTTTTGCAATGTGCCAAGGTCTTGAGAGGCAGAGAGGCAAGAAAAGGAAAGTTATTACACCTGAAAAAGTATCCTGCAGAACATCATATACCCTGTAAAATTAAGACCCTCAGATTTGAAGGACACCAGGCAACAGCTCATTTGCCCTCCTGCCCAACTTACCAGTGTGTATGAGGTTGATTCCAGGGCATTGACCCAAGATCCTGCTCCTTTATCAGTTGTAGGTGTGGAAAACAACGGCCTGTATAGCCATTACCTGCATCTGCATCAGCCTTTCTCACATCCCTTCTACCCATTCTTGGGCCTACGGGGCTGTGTCCCAGAGGAATCTAGATCCTGGAAGAACTCATTAAATACAAAGTAATTAACCAGTACCTCTCTAGGACAAGTTCTCTGAGAGTTCTGCAGCAGTTACTGATTGTGGTTACTCATCACACCTGACCATACTTTGTAGCTCTATAAGGGATGGAAATAGGGGTGGAGCAACTCATGGACAGATGCTTAAATCAATATGTGTTTAGGGAACAGATAGTAGTCATGTGTGGCTGGAGCCTACAGTTTGAAAGATGAAGAAGAATGGTTAGAAAAGCCATAAAAGAAAGGACCAGCCTCTAAATGTCCTAAAATACCTTAGAAGTGTAACAGTGTTGTCTTTAATCTTGTGGACAAGGAACATCAATCATCTTCGAGTAGAATTCCACCATGAAATACATGCTTTGGAAATATTCTAAGGGTAGCAGAATCTCTCATACAGCTAAACTCCGCACAAACATATCCCAGGAGAGATAAACTTGCCACTGACATGGATCAGACATCTATGGCCCAACCATATGCAGATACAGATGCTCCTCAGTTTACAATGGAATTATGTCCTGATGAGCTTATCATATTTTGAAAAGATTGTGAATTTAAATGCATTTAATACACCTACTGATCGTTATAGCTTAGCCTAGCTAATTTTAAACATGCTCAGAACACTTATACTAGCCTATGGCAAAATCATAACACAAAGCCTATTTAATAATCCTATGTTGAATATCTCATGTAATTTATTAACTTCTGTACTAAAAGTTAAAAAACAGAATGATTCGATGGGTACTCAAAATACAGCTCCTATTGAATGCATACTGTTTTTACACCATTGTAACGCTGGAAAATTTAGGTCAAACCATTATAACTCAGGACCATCTGTATACAGAAAGCACAGGAATAAGGGGCCAACTACATGGTACAATGGTAATGCACTGCTTAACAGAAGCTGGATCCCACAAGACCACAGTTCAAATCCCTGACCTGGTCAGCCCACAACAAGCTGGGCACATGCAGGTGTGCCCAAGTTCCACAAGGCGGACTGAAGAAAAGGGATTACAGTGTGACCAGACCCTGTGGAGAGGGTCTGGTCCTCTTCCTCTCTACTTTCCTCCTTCCTTCCTTCTTTCTTCATTCCCTCCTCCCTCTCATGTGTACATGCTCTATCATGAATAAGGGTACGAGGAGAGAAAAGGAGTAAGAAAAAAGATATACTCTTCCAGGTCATGTTCAATTCTTCCTCAGGCCAAGATATAAAAGGAAATAATTTCCATTGGGTTATTCTTAACTCTTCGCCTTCCTAGAAAAACCATAAAAACACCCAGACACCTCCATCATTTCTCTCTACCATTCTCCATATGTATGGTTACCTGTTTTAAAAATTTTTATTTGCTATTATTTTTTTTTATTATTTGACCAGACAAAGAGAGAGCAAGAGAGAGAGAAAGGGAAAGTGAGAAAGCAAGTCTCTAGGCCTGGACTCAAACCACTGTTGGCCATGTAGGAGTCCAGCACCCTAACCACTACACTACCTGCTGGCCCCTGTCAGATTATCTTTTAATGCCAGCTTTTCTTTACTCTGCAATAGATCATGAGACCACAGCTGACATGTATATCTCCTTCTTTCACACTTCATGACTCCTTTTTCATACTTCAGCTAGATTCAAACTGTGTTCCTTGAAGTCTGAATTCTCAGTGTTAGTACCTTTAACAGATTGCTGTAATATTTTTCCACTAACTGACACCCAAAAGAATCTGGATATCAGACATGTTTTTTTTTTCTTTCCTCTATGCATAGAGAAACAATATTCATTACAGAATTTAATCACCTCAGTACTATGGTAACTCCCTTATTTGCCTGCTGCTTCAGTGGCATAAAGGACACAAAATTGTCAAGTGGCAGTCTCAATTTCCAATAGAATGAAATCACTGCTATCCTGGTAGAGATATTTCTTCCTTGAGACTTTTAACAAATAATTCTTGTGTACTAATTACTTCAAATACTCTCAGCCATTATTTCTCATTCTAGTCACAGCTACAGTAACTATTCTGCACAGACTTCAAACAACCTCATACAGAAACAGCATTACTTCATGCCTCCTCCACCTGCTTCTTGTGTCCTCCCATTTGGTTTCTTTGATTTCACGGAGCAGAATATCATGGGAAAACCAGCTAAATGCTCCTATACACACAATATAAAAGTATAAAGAAGTTAATGCCCTATAATCAACCCTAAAACACATGAGCTGAGCATCTGGCCAAGGCCTGCTGGATCTTAGTAATTTCTAGTGGCCCCAGCTCAATAAGCCACCCTTGTATTGGGATCTTTCCTTCCCAACTTAATACCCTCTGCCTTTCATCTCTCCCTGTGAGATAAATACCCTCTGTCTTTCATCCCTCCCTATGAGATAAACTTCTCAAACAAACTGGTTGCAAATAAGACTTTGTCTCAGTCACTGATTTGGGGGTAACACAGACTATGACAGAAAGATCTGTAAACCAGCAGAGCTCAAAACTGTGGGAGTAGGAAGCAAAAATTTTAAGTGTGTTACTTGGTCTAATAGTGAGACCAAATAGTCTTGTTGCCATTCCTTGGTTTGCAAACTCATGAATCATGGGTGTTGGAGCAACAGAACCTTATATGGGTTCCTGGTTCAATGCACATGCCATATTCTGCAGAATAATACACCAATCTTTCTGGTACTCTTAATGTTTGTTATTTTGTAAACTACTTTGTCTCTAGCACTTGAGACAGTGCTTGGCACAGAGTAGATTCTCTTCTCATTAAATATTTAAAATACTTTAATTAAGTGAATTGCATGGTCTAGCAGTTCCAGAACAATGTTTAATAATAGTACTAATAGTGACACCTTTGTCTTGTTCCTGATAGTGGAATTGCCACTAGTATTTCCCCTTTAAGCTTGAGGCTGATTTTTAGGCTGACTTGGATGTATAAGAATTACATGTTAAAGAAGTATCTATATACTCCTATTACATTAGCATTTTCATCTGTTGGATATTAATAAATTCACCATTGCAATAAAAAGTTAAATTATTTTTTAAAAAACACCTTCTACACTTAAAGGATTTTGCCACAGACTCAGAGACACAGAGTAGTGCACAAATTGAAAGACTCATATATAATAAATGTAGCAAAGAGGGGGCTGGGATTCGAGAGAACTCAAACGCAGCCTTTTCTTGTGTTCTATATTTATTGTGTGAAGATCAGGTTACAAACAATAAAGTACTTTGAAGTAGATAAGTGACCTTTTCTCAGCAACCTTAACTGTATATATTTATGATGGAAAATTCTATAAATGTACAGTGGACAGGAAAGGATGAACATACAAACAGCCAGTCTTCTACACAACCAAGAACATCTTTAAGAAGGAAGCTAAAGATTTACTTGTAAACACAAAGGATAGTATGTAAGAACTATTATGTAGGACAGAGGGCACATTAGCCCAGTAGTACTTGGCTTGCTTCTCTAGGAAAGTCTTCTGTCCTTGAGGGCCCAGTGTGCCAGGTTACTCAAGGGGTTTTCCAGCAGATCTGGGCGATCATCACACAGGGTAATCTCCAACAGGATTTAAATATTTAATTCAACAAATACATAGAAAACAGTAGCTGTAAAACCATGAAGACGGTATATTAAACAATAACAGAAAAGTGCTGCCATTTATGCCTCTTAAACTTCCTTTACAACTATCTAAATTTCATTCATTACTTTAGTATAATACCTCATCTCAGCATCTACAATTTTAACAAATGCTTGAAAAGTTTTTTGTTCAGAAACAGATGCCGGTCTGACAGAAACACATTTGAAAATATTCTTTTTCTGATCATAGTTTCCAACACACCTATGAACTCGACCTCTAATGAGTCTTGGAAGTTCACGATCCTGTTTTTTAAAAAAACATATATTAAAAGGGTTATTTATTACTTCATTTGAATTTCAATTTTTTAAAACTAATAATATAATCAACTAAATATGAATCACCCAAAGTGCTGTAGTTCTCTCACCCAAATCAGGGTCCCATTGCTGACAAGATGATGATAGCTAGGCATACATGGGCACTCTGTCACAGAGGAAAGACCTTCACTTGGGTAGTGCTTATTATAAGCTAGTCAGTTTTGCTTCTTAAAAGACTGAATAATTCTGAACATGGCCATGTATTATCTACTCTTTTATCAGACCACCAAAGTCCACTTTCAGTAGATAGTAAATGAGGTGGTTCAAACCATCTCTCCAGCTGAGAACAACTAGAATAGCTGGATGAAATAAGCCGTTAATAAATCCTTTATGCATCAGAGAGCTATCAAGGCAGAGAATTAGAGAGACTCTATCTGGGTTAGTATGAGAGTCAAGGATGGAGACTGAGTTTGAAAGTGCTTTCACTCTGTGACATTCACCAATTTTTACCAAAAAAAAAAAAAAAAAAGTAATGGAGAGTCTAAGAAACTGAGCAAATCTTTTGATGGACTCATAAAGCTAAGAGGACAAGACATGAAATCTAAGGTACCCAAGGAAGAGTTTCTGGTGACTACCTCCACCCTAACCCCAGGCTTAGGGTTAAAACATAAAAATACTATGCCTTTAAGGGAGGAAACCAGTAAACCACAAAAAGACCAGCAATCTCCAAATCCTAACAATTATGAATAAAACCAAAGCATTTCACTAAAAGGTCATAAAAAATACCATTGTAATTATAGGGGGAAAGACTGATGATTGATAATAGGACTATATTACAATGAAGAACTTCTCCTCATCAGAAGTCACAATTAAGGGTGAAAAAGCAAACCACGGATTGTATTACAATGAAGAACTTCTGCTCATCAGAAGTCACCATTAAGGGTGAAAAAGCAAACCACGGAGTGTGAGAAAATATCTGCAATGTACATAATGGAAAAAGAACCATAAAACCTCCCATAAATCAATAATAAAAACATAAATGGAGCCAATTGCTGGCACAGAGGTAATATAACTGGACATACTTAGGAAAGGTCCTGGGTTCCATCCCAGAACCTCCCTGAGCATGTTGGGCTGACTGAGACTAAGGTGAGCTGTGGCATAAGCGGGGGGGTGCTATCTCTCTCTCTCTCTCTCTCTCTCTCTCCATGTTAGTTAAACAAATAAACAACTTTGATATCAGAACTAAAACCACACAAAATGTTGAAAATACTACTAAATTATTCACAGAATTTCTACTGCAATGGAATTATAGCCTTCATTGTTACATTCTGTTAGCATAAACTTTATAAAAAAATTATTTTAAAAATACTCACAATTTCATAAAATATACAAGGCAGTGTATTTTTTCCATCTCTCATAAGAAAAGTCTTTGAATGATATGGACCAGGTGTAACAGCTGAATCAAGAACAGCTAAATAACATTGAAATAGTAGAGAAAGTCAATGTTTGTTAAATAAAATTTTAAAAAGAGAAGTTGATATTTAAATTACTGTTCTCACACTGACCTCTCATAGTTCTATTTATACAACAATAAATAAGACATGTTAAGAAGGAAAGATATTTCTGAAATAGTTTTATACAAAAGAAAACAAAATTTCTGGCCCTCTTCAATTTAGTAACAGAATACATGTCAAATTCATAAAACTGACAGTAGCTGGACATCTGAAACTTTTTCCTTAGAACGATTTCTAAGGAAATCCCACATGAGTGCTTAATTCACACAAATCAGTAACAGATTCAGAAATAGAAAAAAAATCCTAACAAACTATAATCTCCTTTTATAAAATTTTATTTTTCTTTAAGATCTACTGGGTATGCCTACTGATATTAAAAACTGTTGTAAAATAATACTACTGAAATAGTTTTCGGATATTCTACCTACCCAATATTTCAAAAAGCAATACAGTTTTCTGTGCATGTTCACACCAATACTTCATGCTTTCAATAACTGCAGAAATAATTCGTAAAGAATTTCCTTTTTCTTTAAACTGTAACTGATAAAATGAGACTTCCTTTTAGAAAAAAAAATCATAACATTAAAAAATTCTTTCTTCACTATCATACTTTTTTACCTTCTATTTAAAGAGTCTAGGTCCTTAAAACATTCAAATATGTAAAATGTGTAAAAAAAATCTATTAAAAATTTTAGAACAGTTACTTCCCTAAATTAAAACTATCATTCATATATTATAGGAGGAGAAACCAGGATGCACTTAGAAACAATCAAGACAAGAATGACTTAAATAGGCATTCATTCACTTTCACTTATTCATTGAATATTTTTAAAGCATCGAGTGCCAGATCTTGTGATAAACCCTGATGATTCCTTTTCCTAATGTGTGCACACTCCAGGTGGGGAGCCAGACACGCTCATTCATTAATTCATTTCAAATGTGTTTATTGGGTATCTACTATGAGGTAGACTGTGGCATGAGTCCACAATGAGTCCACGAGTTGTAATAAAGGCCACTAAGGGAGCAAAAGTCAAAAACAAAGATATCTCCTTGAATTTTACAATCTAATGGAGGATTCATAAAATAATGAATACATATAAGCATCAAGCATTGATATATCCTGTGCATTACAAAGAAAAACAGGGCCAAAGGATAAAGAAGAGGCAGAGGTTATTATTTTAAATGGGTTGTGAAAACAGAAAGAACAGTAAGTATAAAAGGTATGAGATGAAAAAGTGTTCAACATTTTTGAAGATCAATTAAGAACACAGTGTATTGACATATTAATTTTCAAGGATAGGGGGACACGTTCATTTGTGGGGATGAGGGTTGTGAAGAACACCTGATAAGGGACCAGCAGTTGGCATAATGGCTATTTCGCTGGACTCCCATGTACTCAACCACGGTTCGAGCTTCAGACCTGGTGACTTAAACTCACGCCAGATGTGTGTGAGTGCATGCTCAAGATCCCAAAAGGAGGGACCAGCAGTTAGCGTAATGGCTATGTCGTTGGCTCCCATGTAGTCAACCAGGGTTCGAATCTTGGACACAGTGGCTTAAACTCACACCGGGCGCATGTGTGCCCAAGATCCCGAGAGGAGAATGGAGAAGAAGGGATTGCAGCATGGCCATCCCCCTGGGGGGTGATTTCTTGCTTTCTGTCTCTCTGTCTCTGTCTGTCTGGTGAGTGCACACACCCTATAGCAAAAACCTCTCAAAAAACAAAAAAATCCCAAAAGGAGAGTGGAGGACAAAGGATTGTAGCATTGCCAACCGCCTGGGGGGGCAGGGTGATGATTTCTTGCTTTCTTTCTCTCTGTCTTTCTGGCACGTGCACATGCCCTACAGCAAAAAAAAAAAAAAAAACCTCTTGATGGGATATGATAGTCAAAATACAGTTACTTTTCTCCTTGCTCACATCACAGTCAAGATTCTGACATGCTTCCAGTTGAAGATTATTGACATAAGCCACTATTAATAAGGTGACTGTGATAAATATCATTCTCATGTAAAAAGAAACATAATATTGAGAACTACTGTGAAGCATGCTATGTTAGTTACATTTACACACACACACAGAAAAAAAAACTAAATAAAAACAGAATTTACATGATGGCTTATTGAAAAGACTGCTTTTTCAGACACATGGGCAGAATAAACATGGGTTACTTAAGCACCCAAAGACTGATAATGGTAAAAAGCTGTTACCGTTTGGAGGCTGAAAGGATAAGAGAAAATAAAATTACCAAGCCCATAAAGCTGAACTGATGGCAGGGCTACATCTGCAGGGATACAATCACTGCTGATAACACAACATGTAAGCAGGGAGAGAAAAGAAAAACCCAACCTCTCTTCCCACTCTGCGATATCCTGCCAGTGACTTCCATAGACTGACCTCTAGCAGAAATCAGTAAGGGATCCTACTATGGTGCACTGTGTAGGACGATTCAGCCTTCCAGAGCACAGAAAAGGGCAGGTAAAGAATCTTTTGGGCCAAGGGGAGAAAAGGAGGAGAAAGAATAATCAGCACACATAATAATTTTTTCAAAAATGTACAAAGAACAATAAGAATACAATTAGCATGTAAAGAAGAAGTCGTCGAGATGTAGGTATAGGAAAGAAAGCAAAGCAAAACAGAGTCATAATAGAGTATATGCCATATTTAGAGAATTGTGAAGAGTCTGAAATTGCTTAAGCATAGTAGAGTTGTTGCAGTAAAGGCAATATGGCCAACAAAGCCAAAAACATTTACTATTTGGCCCTTCAGAGAAAAAGTTTGCATTCTCTGTTGATAAAAGCTTAGAATGACTTATGAAGAGCTTAAATGATTTCTGCAAGTAATGGATAAATTGTCATCATCTTAAGAGTTGGTAAACAGGGAAAGTCAGAATTCAGTACACAACTCTAAAGCACCTATGAAAAGAAGAAGCCATTCACACCCTTTAAGAAAACATTTTTAGGTACTAATGTTGGTCCACTTCAATGAAACTGGGTATTTGTGCTAATCAGGTACTGTATGTCATGGGCTTGATTTTAAATACTTTTATCTCTATAACTTAAGCCTCACATTTCAAAAAATGTAAATAAGTCATTAATTGATATGTGAACATTTACCTTGAAAGTGTTTTCTTCTGGGAAACCATCCAACATCTTTTTCTTAAATTGATTTTGTTGAAAACTGGGCTTAAATGCCTGTAATGCACTGCTTTTGTTACTTTTGTCTAGACCACTCATTGTGGAGCCAGGTGTTTTTGATGAATATGTTTGTCTAAGTACTTCATTGTGGTGAGATAAGTTAGGAGGGTCAGATATTCTTAATTGTTTTTGTTGTTGAGCTCTCAAACTCATTGGATAAGAATTTATTCCATCATTTGCCACTAGGTTTGTTCTTTGACACTGGGGCTTAAAATCATTCTTATTCCAAGTTTTCAAGGTGGTATTTTTGTTGCCATCTCTTGTAATAGTAGTAAAAAAAAAAAAAAAAAAAGAAAGAAAGAAAGAAGCAAAATTAAGTTTAAGGGACCCAAAATGGAAAGAAATATGTTGATTAAAATGTTTACAGTAATGTCTTCAACTGAACCAACATCCAACATGCAGTGTTTCATGATGGTAAAATTCATTTGATATGCTTAATGATACCCAGTGATTAAATGTGTAATAAATAAATTTAAATTTAAAAATACTATTTGTTCATATATACTTTTTCTTAATTTAAAAAAAAATGAAAATCTGGGGCAGGCAGGTCATGTGGTAGTTAAGAATGCTGGATTCTCACATGGCCAATTGCAGTTCAAGACCCGAACCTGGAGGCTTGCTTTCTCACTTTCTTTCTCTCTCCCCCTCTCTTGCTCTGTCTCTCTCTGGTCAAATTTAAATAAATTAATAAACTTAAATAAAGTAGTTCTTTTTTTTTTTTT